TAAAAAAAAAAAAAAAAAAAAAAAAAAAAAAAAGAAGAATAAATAAATGTATAAATAAAAAGAAGGAATTATATAATAAATATATACATAAATAATTATATAAATATAAATTATATTTATTATTAATAAATAAAAAGAAATAAAGAAAAAAACTTACCAAAGGTTATATCTGCCTCTGTATCTTCTTGTATTTCTTTAGTAATATTATTAATTATATTTATATTTTTTATTTCTTCTTCTTCTTTTTTCTTAATAATAAAAGAATTAATATCTTTATTAGGAGGATGATCCTCATTAATAAATAAATAATAATAATTTATTTTTTCCTTTATATATATATATTTATTTATAATTGTACAATTAATTGATGTATTTTCTTCGCATTTATTTATATTAAGAGAAGAAGCAAAAGAATTAATTAATGCTTTTCTTCTTATATCCTCTATTTGTGTTCTTTCTCTTCTTTTTTTTATATTTATTATTATTTTCTTCTTATTACATCTATTAAAGGATAATAATAATAATAATATACGTAATAATAAAGGATCTGCTTGTGGCTTACTTAGCCATTCATGAATAATTAATTGCCATGCCTTCTGTAGCAAAGAATAACAACAATAAATAAAGAAAAAAAAAAGATAAATATATTAATAATTAATAAAATAAATACAAATACACAAAAAGAAGAGAAAAAACAATAAAAATAAAGAAAAAGAAAGGGGAAAACAATGGACAAAAAAAAAGAGGGAAAAATGTATTATTAATGCACATATTAATTGCTACAATAAATTAACAATTATTTATTTATTTTATTTGTTTATTTTATTTATTTATTTTACTTATTTATTTTATTTATTTATTTTATTTATTTATTTTATTTATTTATTTATTCTATGTATGTATGTACGTATGTATATATTTATTTATTTATTTGTTATTTTTATATTCTTACATAAAAGTCTTTATCTTTTTGTTTTTCTTTTCTTCTTCTTTTCTCCTTTTTTTTCTCCAATTTATTTACTTGTTTAATTACTTCTTGTCTAATTATATATCTATTTGCTGTATTAACAGGAAAAAAAGAGAGAAAATTGTGTATTATTGTCCATCTTTTTTCTTTATTAAGAAAATCTTCATGAGAAAGAGAAGGAAAAGAAATATCTTTTATTGTATATGCAAATGTTTCCTCTGTATATAAATAAACAAAAAGAAAAAAGAAAAAAAAGAAGTAATTAATTTTATTTATTTATATATAATACATAAACCCTAAACCCTAAACCCTAAACCCTAAACCCTAAACCCTAATTTAGTTTACCATTTCTCTCTGTAATGAGTGGATGTACGATGGGCACTTGCAGATTTTCTAGAAGACAATCTGCAGCAACAGCAGCAGCAACAGCAGCAGCAGCAGCAGCATCAACAGCAGCAGCAGCAAACATGAATACGAGCACATAGCAGCAGCAGCAGCAGCAGCAACCATCAACAGCAGCACATACCACCATCATCATAAGCAGCAACAGCAGCAGTAACAGCAGCAACAGCAACAGCAGCAGCAACAGCAGCAGCAGCAGCAGCAGCAGCAGGTTGAGCAGCAGCAGCAGCAGCAGCAGCGTACCTCCCTTAACAGGAGTTGGGCATTTATTTATTGCTAAATTAATTAAATAATTTGCCTCATCAATTAAATTTAAACATTTTTCTTTTATTTCTTTTTCTCTAAATTTTCTGCAAAATTTTTCTCCTTTTTTTCTTCTTTTTTCTTCCTTTATGGGTTCTATACAAGCTAATATATCTATTAACAAAAAAAAAAGCAGCAAATAATATACAAAAATAAATAAATAAATATATATTTATATATTAATAAATAAAATAAATAAATACATAAAATAAATACATAAATATATAATAATAATAATTGTATTATAATGTTATTTTTTAACGCTAAATCACGAAATAAATAAATAAAATAAAATAAATAAATAAATAAATAAATAAATAAATAAATATACTTACGCTTTCCTCTAGGAGAAGAAACATATTCATCTATTCCTTCGTCAATCTCTGCTTTTTCTGTAAGAGATTTAGTACTAAAAAAAGATCTTATTCTTCTTATTATTTTTATTATATTCCTCATCTGTATATAAATAAATAAATAAATATAAATAAATAAATAAATAAATATAAATAAATAAATAAATAAAAGGGAACAGAGGGGTTTAGTTCATGTATTATATAAGGAATTATTATAAATAAAAAAGAAAGAAAAAAAAGAAGAAAAAGAATAATATAAATAAATAATAATAATATATATTATATATATAATTATATTTTTATAAATAATATAAATAATATAAATAAATAATATAAATAAATAATATAAATAATAATAATAATATAGACATACCCCTCCTTTCTTTTCTTTTTTTTTTGTTTCTTTTTTATTTTCTTTTAATTGAGGAAACAAAGGAGGAAGAAAAGAAGAAAAAATATTTTCTTTATTTAATAAATTATCTTTATGAGGTAAAATATACTTTATATCTTTATTAATAGTATTATTATCTGAATAAATAAGAAGAAAAAAAGACAAAAAAAAGCAAGAATAAATATATTTATATAAAAAGAAAAAAACATCGATCTACATACAAGGAGGCAAAGGCGCCAAAAAAATTCCTCAAGGACAAGGAGAGGAAAAAGGAGAAAAAAGGCATATTAATTAATATTATATATATAATAAAAGGGTTTAGGGTTTAGGGTTTAGGGTTTAGAGATTTAATTTCTTACATTTTTCTTCTTTGCAAGAAGAAGAAAGCGTCAGACAAGAAAAGAGAAGAAAAGAGGAAAGAAAAGGTGACCTCATGTTATATATCTATTGAATAAGAAAAGAAATACTTTTATATTTATGTTTTAAACAAATTAATTCTTTTTTATTGGTGTTTTTTCCTTAAAAAAAGGGTTTTTCTTTATCCTGCAGAATTAGGGTTTAGGGTTTAGGGTTTGCAGGCCTACTATATTGCACATATATAGCAGCAATAGGTGGACATAGAGGCATAAAAAAGAAGAAAAATAAAAATATAAATGTCAATTTTATTCTTATTTAATATATTTATTTATTTTTATGATCTATTTCCTTAAAAAAAGACGTAGCATGCAAAGAAAGAAGACCCTTATATATATAGCGGGTGACCAATGGCCAGCTATCGATAGCTATTTAAGGAGTAAGAGGAGGCAAAAGGAGGTAAACTCCTCATTAAATGCTTTTTTTTCTTTATTTATTTAAATCATTTATTCAATTATTTATTTTTACTCATTTAAATCACAAAAAATAACATAAAATACATAAGAATGTCCACCTAATTCCTTATTCGCCCCACCTAAGAACAACAGCTTAAGAACTTATTTTTATTATAGGGAATATTTTTTATGCTTTTCTTCCCTTATATACAAAAATAAATAAAAAATAAATTATAATTAATATATTTTATTAATAATTAATTAAAATAAGTATATTTTACAAATAAATAAAAGGGAGGGAATAATAAGAAAAAGAATTATTCCCTTAAGCTATCTATTAATAAAGAACTATATATCTTCTCTTGTTATTTATATATTAATGAATAAAGTAAAATTAATTAATTAATTAATTAATTAATTAATTAATTAATTACTTAATTAATTAATTAAGATAAAAATTTTTACCTTTTATTCATATTTTATACAAATAAATGAACAAAATAAAACTTTTTATTCCTTATGTTTATAAAAAGACTAAAAAAGAAAAAAAAAAGAAAAAAAAGGAGAAAAAAAGAAGAAAAGAAAAAGGAAAAAAGGAAAAAAAAAAGAAGAAAAGAACAAAAGAAGAAAAAAGGAGAAATTTTTCCCCTTTTGTTTGTTTTATATAAACAGAAAAGATTAAGGAAAAAGGGAAGAAACATAGCTAAACCCTAAACCCTAAACCCTAAATAGAGAGATTTATTCATTTTCTCCCTTTTATGCCAATTATAATATCTTACCCAGCAGAAACAAGAGCTGTTGCTGCTGCTGCTGCTGCAGCAACTGCAATTTCATCTCTATCTGCTGCTACTGCTTCTGCTGCTGTCCTGCTGCTGCTGCTGCTGCTGCAAGTATTCCTGCAGCCTGCAGCTTCTGTT